AGTTCGAATTCCAGTCGAACCCATTACATTCATTTACTTGCTAATACCCTTGGGAAAGGTATGAATCCTCTTCTCCCCTCCCTCAGCTCTGACAGACCCGATTCTATAGCTTGGATGGCAACACAGAAAGAAATGGCAACCTACTGCGGGAAAAATATACCTCGCCAGTCATGTATCGAAAGATACATGATCGCCTAAGCATGTATCACGCATGGCACATAACTGACTAATCCTCTTGGAGTGTTGGACAAAACTACTCCTAGTGCAACCTATCATAAAAGTGATTCAATGATAAAAAATACAGGTGGATTGGAGATATAGTAAGAAGAAAGGATGACAGATGAAGCAAAAGGTTGGTTGATTGGTGTCTAATAGCAAATACAATAAAAATAGTACAGCTAGAAGACTAACGCGATGAGATAGGGGTTTTCTAGTAAGACATAGCACAATCATAGATGTCACAGAAGAAATTTACAAAAGCCTTTGTTTTGATGATGATCATATATACAAGAATTGATGATCCCGTTCACAAAATTTCTGAACCTTTACTTTAAAAATATTTATTTAATACTAATTACAAAAAACAGGTTACAAGGGTCTAACTGATTTATAATATAGAACAGTTCTGTTCATAAAACTTTTGTTTTAATGATGAACTGAATAGCAAATAAATATTTGTAAACTCCAGTTTATGTCTCAAAATTCTTATTCTTTCATTTAATATGACCTGAGTTCATAGGCTAATATTTAGGTTTTGTATCATCTTATAGTGTTAGACAAAACTACCAGTGCAACCTATCATAAAAGTGATTCAATGATAAAAAATAGAGGTGGATTGAAGATATAGTAAGAAGAAAGGATGACAGATGAAGCAAAAGGTTGGTTGATTGGTGCCTAATAGCAAATACAATAAAAAAAAGATCAGCTAGAAGACTAACGAGATGAGACAGAGGTTTTCTAGTAAGACATGCCACCAGTCACGATGAACGGATGTCCCCTCGAGTAGGCCCCGTGCCTTGAGAGAATATTGGGGCCTCAAACTCACACCTGACTTCAAGTAGAAGTCATATATACAACCAATCGCTAAAGATGCAGGCAAAATGATCAGCTCTCTATACCGCTCCAGTAAGTACCTGACTTCTCATGCTCTACTATAATTTTATAAAAGCCAGATCAGGACTAAAATGGAGATCAGTTGCCATATTTGAGCGGGAGCAGCCAAATCCCCACTTTCCAGTCCTGATAGACTTCAAAAGCGTCTCTGAGTTCTTGTTAAAGGAGAATTATTTCCCCCCCTCCAATTTATCTCTCACAGTCGGGATGTAGCGAGCCTCACACTGCTCTATCACTACTACATGGAAAGTGCTCGAACGAACGACATTACTTGGTTTAGCCGGATCTAACATTCACGGCTAGGACCCGCCATGTCGCTTACATTGTAGCAAACCCCACCCATATTCTCTCCGTATTCCATCGGTGTCAGTTCCACTCAAACAGCTTCTTCCCGTGAATCGCTGCTCTATGGAACAGACTCCCAAGAGAATGCTTCTCCGATCACTACAATCTTAATCAGTTCAAGTCTAGAGTTAACCGCTATTTTCCCTTTTTATTAATATAAACTACCCTTAATCTAACTCTCGAGTGGCCTCCAGGCCTTGTACAGGATGAGCTTCTATGCAAAAAAGAAAAAAAAATAGCTCAATTATTGTTGTCATGGGAGAAATTGAGAAAATCCTTTGGAGACTTACAATAAATGATGATTATAGACAGGATCCAAAATAAGGATTGATCTTTTAAAAACTACTTTTTTGCAACTAAGATTTCTGGACTCTTTTAATTTAGAAACATTTATTTAATACCAGTGACAAAAGACCGGTTACAAGGGAATAACTAGTCTTCAACACCGTATTCTTTAATGCACATAAAATAATCGATGTAATTACTTGTCATTAATACACGTCACTGTTACTTATATGATTTCCCGCGTTTCGTTTTATATCGATACTTTTTCAAAAAAAAAAAAAAAAAAAAAAAAAGAGCTACTTAAAACACTTATATTCTTTCTTACATTTTACTTCTTTTCACCTTTCTGAAGATGACCCATGAGAGTCGAAAGCTTGGACACCGTGTTAATTTCGGATTTTTTTTTTTTTTTTTTTTTTTTTTGCATCTGCAGCCGCCAGGTTTTGCGGGGGGGAGGCTATTTGCAGTTTGAAAAGGACGATGGCTGAATTCAATACACGTAGAATGTCTATCCTTTTTAATAAAACATGTTCAAAAGAACAATTACTGCGTAATTATATATAATTCTTTCTTATTACTATAAACGCTATTATTAATGGGTATACGTATTTTAATTGCTACCTGCTTTTTTATTAGACAGTGAAATTGATAACAACTTGACTAAATTGAGAAGTCTTACTAAAAAAAGTCAATCGGGAATCTAACCTTACCATAAACAATATTAAGGTATGAATACTAACCATCAGTTAAAGTTACACCACTACTAACCATGGGTTATAACATACCTGATTTTGAAAATATCAAAAAAAATATTAAATATAAATCTTTATTTGCAATATTTTACATGCAGGCACTTCAAACTTTGTACTTTGAGTTAACATTAATAGGAACTAAAAAACATATTATTTAGGTAAGAAAATCAGGTACTGAAAATTGTAATTAAAAATAGGAAAATTTGCGCTGGACACTATATACCTATGGTTAGTGTTCTAGGATTAAGGTATGAAACTTAAACTAGTAGATATTAGTTTGTAGAAGTCTCAACGAGAAAAACCTATTGTATGATAAATCCATTAACAAAAAAAAACGACTAAATATTCTTTAAGCTATTTACATCCAACAAAAGCAAGCAAACATTAGTAAAAATAACTAGTCTTCAATATAAAAAAATAGACACAAATGCATGTGACTAATATTCGTGTCTTTTGCACGTTGCTTATCTGATTTTCAGCGTTTCGCTTTATAACAATACTTTTAAAAATTGGGGAGCTACTTAAAATAATTATGATATTCTTTCCTTCAGTTCTTTTCACTTCCCTAAAGATGACCCGTGAGTGTCGAAAGCTTGGACCCCGTCTTGATTTCGGATATTTTTGCATCTGTAGCAGACAGGTTTTTGGCAAGTGAATCACAATTTAGAAAAGATGATGGATAAATTTAATAGACATATAAATTCCTTCTTTTTTAATAAAATATAAACAAGTTTGTTTTTTTTTTTGTTTTTTTTTGTTGTTTTTTTTGTTTTTTTAAGAAAGGCTAGACATTCTAGCCTTTCCACCTGTTGGTATTAAAAGATAGACTAGATTAATCGTTAAAGGAATGTATCAGTAAACAACCTTATGGGATTGTTGATAGTCTGTATCCAGAATTTCCTATACCCAGAATACGAGGGCCGGCTGAAAAATATATATACATATAGTATGTATATAAACAGGAAATAAAATTTTCTGTGTATTCAACGTTTTCGTGAGTGATGGCTAACATAGCTAATATCTATTTAAGGATTTCAGCCTTGAGAACATTACCGTTTTAGCTTTTACTAAGACTCACAGATATGGATGACATCTTTATACTCGGGCTCAGCCAAGAGAATGCACCATGTACATAAAACGTCAGTACTGTGCATAATGCAAAAATCTACCATTTCTGTGATGAGGAGTTATCATTATTTACACTATTTATATTCAGATCCTTGTTACCATCTTTATTATTGTTGCTATCATAGTGTTTCGGTCGTTGTGCCCGGCCTTCGACGGGTATATATCGATCTCAATAAGCTACAGGGAATTTTGAATTGAATCCTTTATTCAGTCGACGGGAGTAGACTGTTCTCGTCCCACAGTTCATGTCTAGGGATATCTCATCTCTTTCTTATTTTTAGTATTGCTAAATTATTGCTCGCCCCTTTTATACTGATTACAAGTAAACACTATACTGTTCTCTCAGTACTATTAAGAACTGAAGCGCAATACTAGATTGCAGGTTAGGTCTCAGCATTTTACAGTTGAAATTGCTCGATGTAACCGTAAGTTCTATGCTAACAATATCTTCTCTCGCTTGTGAAGCTCTCTTCTGGCCTCTTGCTTACCAGGCAATTTTGATCTTCAGAAATGGATGGCAACTGGTCTACCGCAAAAAGAAATGGCAACCTACTGAGGGAAAAAATCTGCCTCGTCAGTCATGTATCGAAAGATACATGATCGCCTAAGCGTGTATCACGCATGGCATATAACTGACTGATTTCTTTTCAATAAAATACCGATTCGTTATTTTGCTCTCTACTTTTTGTAAAGAAGCTCCCCCCCCTAAACCCCTAAAGATATTTTCTTGAGGCCCCTCGGGTTTCGAGGCCCGAGGTATTTGTGCCGGCTGTCCCCAACTCTCACTGCCACTGCACTGGTTATATGACACATCTTGTCTCGTGTTTTTTTTTTTGTTTTGTTTTGTTGTTTTTTTTATCTAGAGATACTTCACACAATTCAAACAATCTGCAATGTTATCAGTTCTGACCTGGCATCTCGGCTTCAATCCCTTTCCCACCGCCATAACCTAGCATCCCTGTGCCTTTTCTATAAATATTTTCATGGAAATTGTCTTAATGAGCTCTCCTTCTTGGGACTTTGTGCCCATGAATTTAAGCGTACTACTTATCGATTTACTATTGAAATTGGTAAATGTAAAAGTAAGCTCTGTTCTAATAGTTTCGTCTTGACTGTGTGGCTCTCTACCTGCTTCTTACTTGTCCTTTCAATAACAATCTTCAAAAGTTTAAAGGCAACATCAATTATTAACTTCTGACTCCTTAATTCCTGTTCTTTTGTCCCCACTCTCCTCAATGTTTTCGCAGTTTCTTTTACTTACGCTGACCATTTGCGTCTTAGTGGCTTCATTGTCTTCCTTGAGTTGAAAAGATTTTTAAAAAAATTAGATCTCATTTAATGCTTAGTTCCGAGCGAAAATTCTCCTACGATATTGAGACATAATTGTTTATTGCACTCTCTTTTTTCTCCTCTCTTTTTTCCTCTTTCTCTCTTTTTCCTCTTTCTCCTTCTCTCTTTTTTCCTCTTCCTTCTTCCTCTTTTTTCCTCTTTCTCCTTCTCTCTTTTTTCCTCTTTCTCCTTCTCTCTTTTTCCTCTTCCTTCTTCCTCTTTTTTCCTTTTTCTCCTTCTCTCTCTTTTCCTCTTCTTTCTTCTTCTTTTGTCCTCTTTCTCGTATCTCTTTCTCCTTCTTTCTCCTTCTCTTTCTCCTTCTCTTTCTCTTTTTTCTCGTTCTCTTTCTCCTCTTTCTCTCCTTCTCTTTCTCTTTTTCTTCTCTTTGTCCTTCTCTTTTTCGCATTCTCTTTCTCTCCTTCTCTTTCTCTTTTTCTCCTTCCCTTTGTCTTTTTCTCCTCCTCTTACTCCTCTTTTCTTCCCCTTTCTTCTTCTTCTTTCTCCCTTTTTCTCCCTCTTCCTTCTTTTTCTTCCTTTATGACCCTGTTGCTGCGCACTTCGCTAAATGCCACTCTTAGTCTTGTCCCTGTCCGTTGATTCGTCTCCAGCGAGCTCGCTCTGCAATATTTCTGCATGCATACATGCATGCAGTTTCAAGCAGGAATATCAGTGAAGAACTCTCGAAGATCAACGCTTCAGTCCGCTTTGTTCTGGTTATGCTTGAAACTTAATCAACTTCAACAACACTCATTAACAAGTGTAAAAATAACAACTTTTATTTATGGCACTGTGACTGAATACATAAACAAAAGGGATTTGAAGAAGTTTTCCCGTATAAGGAATCCTTAAGCTGACACAGGTTGACTGGCAATTGCAGTTATGCTAAACAGGCTCAAAGTTGTTCAACTATTTAAAAAAAGCCACTTGATCGAAGGAATTCAAAAAGCCTCACAGAGAACAGGACTTTAGCTGATTGAGCCGGCAAAGGAGAATCGGGTAGATGTGCGAAACGCATACAGTTTTGCCCTCCCCTTCAAGGAGAGATTCCTTTGAGTCTACAGACGCACTGCTTCTTCGACCTTCTGCCGAAGAACCGACCATTTAGTCTCCAGCTGAAGGCCTGGACCGAACCAGATACCGAGTATCTTTTCCGCCACGTCCGTCCAGCCGAAGAGCCCGAGAAGAGAATCTCCCCCCTACTCACCCAACCGCAAGCCAATAGACTTATCACGATTGGTGTTAGCCGCCGCCACCGTCTCATACCAGCAATTTTTTTACCGACTTCGGCAGTGTTCTTTATGAATACAGACACGTCGTCAGCATAAGCGAAATACCTGGCCGAGCCCACTGCTTTTTCGGCGACTGCATTTTACAGGGGTTCAAATTCTAAGTGCATAAGTCAGTAATAATGCTTGCCAAATGGTATTGGCTAGCCAGTAATAACGCTTGGCCAATGGTATTGGCTAGCCAGTAATAACGCTTGGTCAATGGTCTTGTGTCATACGCCTCGGAGGGAAAGAAGGAAAACTCCCAATATGATTGGTCGTCCAATCAAAATAATGTCCCTATGTCGTAAGTATTGGAGGGGAGACGGGAATCTTCATCCCAGCCCTTCTCTCATTGGCGGGCCAATAAAAGATTGTAGCCTTGTATCGCTCTATCCACCTTCACTGGAACATTTTCCATGTTCCAGAATCTCACCTTCATTTGACCTGATTATCACAGATGCCATCGTCAATTCTATCTGAAAGGATGTTATATCCCTGATCAAAATAAACCTGGCCTATTAAGATCTGCTTTGTTTCACTCATTCTAATGAACAATTTCTTTATTAAAATTAACACTTAACTGAAACAGACCGAAGTCTGTACCCCATGACCTATCTCACCCAAGCTTACAATTTCACCTCTTACACTATACTCCATAAGTGTCACAAACCAGATAATTCATGGTATCGATTTGTTTTAACATGAACATTTTTTTTTCATTAGGCATATTGTTTTCTTCTTGTTAATGTCCTCATGTACCACATTTTTTAAGAGTTTTCTTCTTCTTCTTCTTCTTCTTCTTCTTCTTCTTCTTCTTCTTCTTCTTCTTCTTCTTCTTTTTCATCGATCTTTCTTCTTTCGCTTCTCTGTTTTCTAGTTTCTACATTGTTCTGCTTTCTACCCCTTTTTCCTCTTCTTTTTACCTCCTCCGATTCGTTTTCATTTTGCTTTCTTTCTCCTTTTCCTATCCTCGTCTTACTTCTTTCTCTTCTTCCTAAGCATTGTTTTTCTCCCTTCATATTTGCCTTTGTTTCTCTTCTTTTGACTTTAACTTACCTTTGATTATCTCCTTACTCTCCCATCTGCTCTCCTTCCGTGTCTTTAAAATTCTATTTCTTATCCTACTTATCAGCGTTCTCTTCCGGTTAATCATCACTGTCATCAACAGTAACTCTATCAGCAACAATGACGAAGGTGGCGGTAACGTCAATGGGTTTGTTGCCCTTGCCGCTAAAACAGGTGAACGGGCAAGCGGGTGGGAATGACAAAGTACGCAATGCGCATGACAAGGAATATCGATTGACTTCCGCCGTTCTCCAACATTCAGGGCGGTCGCTGTTGAAGTTCTGCACCCTTCGTTGCTTGTCGTTCTGTAGAATCAGGATTCCATTATTCTGTGGCAAATTCAATCATAAAAGAAAAATGCTCAAACCTCGAAGAGCGGGAGCACGTAACCGATACGTTTTTATTTGCATCTTTCTACTTCGTCTCTCTTTCCTTTCACCCGTGTGCGCATGCGTACCTATACAGTAGGCACGAAGAGACATGCGCAGGAAATACAAACTAGCATACACTTGTGCACGACTTAAATCAGACATGCGGATTACCATACTTGCATAAATATATATAAATACAGCCTTTTCATGCAGGCCACACACGCTAGACTGCACTATGCTATATATAATGTTATGAAGTTCGTATAACGCACGTAGTTGCTGGTTAGTAAGATTGTACGGAAAACACTGGGGTGGGGAAGGGTTGAGCGAAGTTAAATCAGAGGAGAACATTGATTGAAAATGCAGTAGTTAAGTACGACTGAAAGCGCTACGCTTTAGAGATGCACTTTTTGCCGCTGCTCCATGGGCAAACGTTCCACACATAAAAGATGGACGAGTCCATGATTCAATAATAGTGTAGAGAAGTTAGACAGTCTTTCTACACAACATGCAAAATGCAATGTGTCCCATTGGTTAGTGATATAGCATTTGAACATGTCAGGTTTTACATAGTGTTTATTATTTTTATTGTAATTTATTCAGAACTTTGTCCATAGAAAAATTTCCTATGTTAAACTAACCCATGAAGAATTCAAAATGGAGGAAAGAATTAAAATTATGAATCTTTACTTATTCATTTATTTATTACGATAAAAATGGCAATGCAATGATAATCATTAGTGAGTAGATGATATATATATATATATATATATATATATATATATATATATATGTGTGTGTGTATACATATACATATATATATAGATATGCATATGTATATATAAATATACAGACATATAGATATATGCACACATATATATATACACACATATAAATATACACACGCACACACATATATATGCACACACATATATATATATACACACATATATATACACACGCATATATATATGCAAACACATATATATATACACTCACATATATGTACATATATATACACACATATATACATACACATATATATACACATATGTATACACACACACATATATATACACACATATATATACACACACATATATATACGCACATATCTATACATATATATATATACACACACACACATATATATACACACATATATACATACACATATATAAACACACACACATATATATATATACACACAGACACACACACATATATATATATATATATACACACACAGACACACACACACACATATATATATATATACACACACAGACACACACACACACACATATATATATATATATATATATATATATATATATATATAAAACTAGCTGGCCACTCGCATTAGAGGATACACGTCTACTAGGGCGGCTAGCCAATCCCTATTGCAGACGCTCGCTCAGGCACATTTGTGTTTGCTCAACACCTAGAGCCCACCTGTGATTTATACTGCAACTATGCTGAGCAGACCTTAGTTACAGTTTCTGGGAGAGAGTGTGTTATCTAGCATAATCAACTTTTTGAACAAGGCCAACACGCTCAAGCCCTCGGCCACGATGACTTCTATCAACGGCCCCCAGAGTTTTCTCAATTTCACCTACAAGGCTTGAGTCAATTCGTACATATACGCGCGTGCGCACACACAGACAGACACACACACACATATTTATATATAATTTATCTCGGTTGGGGAGGTTCGGTAAAGCGAATCGAGTTCTCTCAGTCACTGACGTGTTTATCTAAAAATAAATACGCTTAAATTCACCTTCATCCCTGCCATACGCCAACGGCTCAGAGGTAGAATCTCTGACTGACGCCAATTCAGAAGGGTTTCGATCCTACCTAGAGGCAACCCTACGTCTATCTACTGATGAGCTGCGAAACAGTCTGTCTGTAGATAACTATATATATATATATATATATATATATATATATATATGAGAGAAAGAAAAGAGGAAAACTATACTTAACCGACGCGTTATGTCCTCTGAGGAACTTTATCAAGGGATTGTAGGATTTATTATGCTTCACGTGTTTACATATACAGGCGAGGATGGCATGGTTTATCAAGGCTTCTAAATTGCAGTTTTTCCTTTTGTCTCTTCTATACACTCAATCTAATATATATATATATATATATATATATATATATATATATATATATATATATATATATATATATATATACTTCCAGCAGTGCAGAACAAACGTAAGAATTGTTTTCAACAAGATGGAGTCACTTTGCATACGATCCTGACAATGGTGGAGCTTTAAAAACAAACGTTTGAGCCCTGGCTAATTTTGCGAAGTTTCTAGATTTTATAACCACCACATTCTATTGAATACAAAGAGTCGGACAACGCAGTCAGTTTCCAACTTGCTCCTCTTTTAAAACATCCTAACATTTCCATGAGCATCAAGTCATATCTCATCAACGCCATTTTCCTACCCAAGCTGACATAGCAGTGCGATACATGGCCCCTAACAAAAACCTTGAGAGGAAACTGATCACTTGTGAGATGAAATGCCTGAGGAAACCAGTGAACAAGACCAGGCGAGACAAGATCAGGAATGAAGCAATAAGAGATATGGTAGGAGCAATACCAATCATACAACACATCAAGCATCAAGTGGTTCGGACACTTTACTTGTATGCCTATCAACCAACTAGCCTACGATCATATACACTCAGGTAGTCGGGCTGGAGTGCGAGAGACAGACCAAGAAGACACTGGAGCGACTCGGTGGCAGACACTCTCAGAGTTCATGAGATATCTCTCCTCCAGTCCACTCGCCTTGCCGCTGACAGACTGTGTCTCCCCGCAACGCCTAACAGCACAAGCGGAAGGAAAAACTAAACTAAACAAAGAGTCAGACAAAAGAAAGACACTGAGCAAGGAGACGTAACTGGCCTCAGCGTGGCTGTTAAATTGTATCAGACTTTTTGCTTCCTAAAAATGATGAAACTAAAATCCTTAAGAACTAATGGTCTATGACCAGTCTTACGAAAATATTCAAAATTGCGAATTTTATCCTAATTGAACGCACGTTCACTTTCCTTACTATCAGTAGCATTTTCCATGACGGACTAAAAAGGCTGTCAATGGCGGCAGGGTCATATGATGGACCAAAAAGGCTGTCAAAGACGGCAGGGTCATATGACGCACCAAAAAGGCTGTCAACGGCGGCAGGGTCATATGACGGACCAAAAAGGCTGCCAACGGCGGCAGGGTCATACGACGGGCCAAAAAGTCTGTCAACGGCGGTAGGGTCATATGGATGCACTGATGAACTTCTAATTAACAAAGTAATTATTGATGATTGTCATGAAAACTAAAATCTGTCAATAGTCTGGGTGGATTATAATCTGTGTGGATTATAGTCTGGGTGGATTATAAATAAAGGCTTCTAATAGTCTTCCTCAGCAGGATAAAGAGGAAAACTTGGACAAATTTAGAATTTCACAAATAATCAAAAATGTCTTATCTCCTGTCATGGAGCTGTTAAAAATAACATTTATTCTGAATACAGATAAGACCCGCTATAAATTCTGGAGATGTCAACAACAATTTTAGACTCATTACTTCAAGCTCCTGAATGAAACAAACTTGGAATATAAAGTGCGTGGAAAAAAGCTATTTTCTCTATATGAACGCAAAAAATGGTAATTAATTCTACAAATGCTCCTTCAAACAGTCAAACAATTTAATGAGGATATCAAAATGGAATATGGCCATGACCAATGTGCTCAACTCTTATGTAATATCAGTTCTCTTATATGGCAGTGAATATTGGAACAATTTCTTCACAGAGGAAAAACTGACTTGACGCAACAGATGTCGTTCTACAGGAGGATGCTGAGAATACTATAGACTGAACATATGAGTATCGAGGAATTTTTATGGATATTGGAAACAAAAATGACAAGAAAGAGAGTTGAAATTTCTAGGACAAATAATGAGGAAAGAAGGCTTGAAGAATTTGACACTCACAGGACTTAAGGAAGGCAAGAGGCACAGAAAAAACCGCGAGCTAACGAGCTAGTGTAAATGGATGGTGTACAAGAAGTAGGGGGTGATAGAAATAAAGTCAAATCTTACTAAAAGTTACAAAAGATACGAACTTATGAAGATTCATGATCGTTCACGCCCAGAAGGGACACGGCAGATAAAAGAAGAAAAACTAAAATACTAAGGTTGACAATTGTATCAACACGTTTGGAATGGATCTGAGGAGCATTGTAAAGAGGTTGGAAGCCTTGGATCTTTGAGGAGGTGACGAAACTATCCAAGCAAAAGCATTAGGAAAATTAACTAAAAATACTTGGGAGAGTGATAATGTACTGTAGAGACTTGCTGTCACTTGATCTCCATTGAAAGTCACTAGTTACTGGTAGGAAAACTAGGTCAATATAATGAAAATAACATAAAAAGATGAAATAATCCTGTAGTTATTGACAAAAAGAAGCCTGTCGAGAAATAAACTTTAATCGGAAATTTCTACAATACAAAAAAACAAAAAGAAACGGTTGACATGACAGGGCAAAGAAAGAAAGGTGAACAGACTTTAATCAGAATAAAAAAAATAAAACCCAAATAAACTATTAAAAAATACAACAAATATAAAAATTTGAAAGAGTATTAGAATCCAGAATACACAAAACGAATACCCATGTAATGAAAACAGGACAAGAGATTCTGTCTAGTAATCGTTTATTCAATTAAGAATACTACTACTCATCGATATTGAGTCACCCCCCACGGGGGTGTCATGTGGCACAAGGCCTTTTTAACGTGGGCATTCCCAAGCCA